GAACCACCTCAGGTTCCTTGGAAGAATCAGATAAAAATGTCATTCTGAAGTTCAGCATGACCAAACAAATGGGATCTGTTCCACATTGACATGTTTGCCACACAACCTCTTTTAGGTTGCAGACGATCTCAGGCCATGTCTTATGGTGAGCACTCAGTTATGATGGGACACCTTCTGGGTTTTCTCATTGCCTCACATTAACATAAAATGAGACCTAGAACACATCCACAAGGTTCATCTGACTATATATTCTAGACAAAGTTTGGTAGTTGGCGCACAAGCTGCCCTTTTCAGGAAGCTCATCCACCAGTATGGCTTTTGTCATTTAGGAACCACAGGGATTTCCAGACCACTGGTTAAAAACCTCTGTTCTGTGCTATTCTTCAGCAGGTAAACGCTCTCCTTTTATCCTTACAAGCCTGTAGGGCTGGTTAGATTGCACAAGAGAGGCTCCTTAGTGAGATTCATGGCTTAAGTGGAAGTTTGAAGCTGGTCTTCCCCTCTCCCAATCCACACAGTCTCTTTTTCCTGTTTGTTTGGTTGCTTGCTTGCTTGCTCTTTTTGTGCTGGCTGTGGCATTTCATGACCAACCACTGAAGGAATGTAATTCCAGCAAGCCTGATCCATTATGTACACAGTAGCAGAGCACTATGGCTGTTGTAAGTCAAACACTTAAACTCATCCTGAGTTATATCAGGCCACTTACTCTCACCACTTTCCAGTTACCTCAGAACATCTGCTTGAAGTAGGTGAATAGCAAGGGCCACCATGAATTAGAAATGAAAGCTTCCAGGATATATCAATATGTAGCTGGTCCTGCAGGTAATTCAAGTAACACTAGGTTAGCACTGCCACCCTTTTGGCCAATTCTTGTATAGTCACCTGACTTTCTGCCATTGAGCCATTTACTTTGCATCTGATCACAGAGCTTCTGGGAAAGTCATCTCTAAATAAATGTATCTTGACTCCAGGTGAAAAATTATCTCAGACCATTATGGACTTGCTACTTGATCATATTTTAGAAGAAAAGAAGAAGAAATTGGATTTATATCCCACCCTTCACTACCTGAAGAAGTCTTATGCCCCTGCCACACGAGGAGAAATTGATGCGGCCAAAGTGCTGCTTTTTAAAGCCGCACCAAAAGAGACACGTGGCAGCGGGATCAGACAGATCCCGTGAGCCGTCACGCAGTTGCTCCCCGGCACGATCAGATACCGGGGGGAAAGCCATGGAAGGGAGCGCGAGGCAGCCGGCTGCGCATGTGTGCATGCACAGTTCGGCTGGGAGCCTCGAATGCTCCTGAAGACAGGCGCTCCGGTGATCCAACGGTCGCGCTTGCTATGGCGTTTCCAGCTGGTGCTACCTTTTTGGGGTTTTTACTGCGCAGTTTAGGCCTGAAGGGTTATTGCGCGGTTTAGGCCTGAAGGGACAGATTGGGGACGGGTGCATGCCGATTTCCAGATGTTGCGGTGTGATCGCGCCCGTTTGCTGCGCCCCCGATCCATCCCACTTCCGGGCCTAAACCTCCCATGTGACCGGGGGCCTTATAGTAGCTTACAACTTCCTTTCCTTTCCCTTCCCCTCCCCTCCCCACAATGGACAGCCTGTGAGGTACGTGGGACTGAGAGAGCTTTTTCGAGAACTGCTCCTGAGAGAACAGCTCTGAGAGAACTATGACTGACCCAAGGTCACACCAGCAGCTGCATGCGGAGGAGTGGGGAATCAAACCTGGTTCTCCCAGATTAGAGTCCGCACTCCTAACCACTACACCAAACTGGCTCTTTAGTATAATGACTATGCTATAAACACAAAGTGGAACAGCTACAGTAAAGCATATTAGGTTTCAATGAGCCCAACATGACTGTCCAAAACTTTCCCATTTAATAAATGGTTTAGCTTGCATCTACCTGCTACTTACATAGAAAGGACTGAGAGCAATCCCTGTTCATCTGTGTTAAAAGTGTGTGCTGATATCCAACACATTTTTGAGAGAATTGGTGTGCATATGCTTTTACCATATCAAGCAGCTTGTCAACAGTCAGTGTATTTATTTATTTTATACCCCACTCCCCTCCCCATGGGCACCCAAAGTGACTCACAATATCCTCACTTTGTCTATTTTATTCTCAAAAGAGGCACAGTAGGCTGAGAATGTGTGAATGGCCCCTGTTCGCCCAGCAAGCTTCCATGGCAGGGTGTCCCACATTCTTTTCAGAATTTATTTGAAAGGCTGGTGTTGTGCAGTCAACTAAAACATTTTGATTAAATATTCCAAAGATTCATAGGAAACCTCCCCCCACCACCAGATTAGGCTTGGCAAGATGTTTACCACCTTTTTTTACTTAATATAGTTTGGCATTACATTGGTATGGTCATCACTTTATCAAGTGCTCATGGCTAGGCACTAAAATATAGTTCACATTGCCATCAATCCATCAAAATATCAGGACAAGGTACTTTTAAAAAAGAGTGCAAGAATTGCAATTCCTATGTACTTAGGATTTTATTTTGTGGGTTTTTAAAAAAAATGCTCAACTTTAATTTGTTTCACAATTAGTAGCTTTATTTAGCAGATCAGCTAAAAATAAAACCTCTGAAGAAGCTACTCTAAGAGAAATACTCACTTAATTGCATTAATAGCACAATTATATGACATGTACAATTATACGATGACTAGTCTCTTCCTGCTTTGTAGAAAAAGTTTAATTGCATCACAAGTTGGTACTTTCATATAGCTATCGTTGCAACATCAAACCCAGCTCTATTCATTCACTCAGCAGGTACAAAAAGGTCAGGTACACAGAAGAACAGGCATAACCCCCCCACCCAATCATGGGAAACTGCCAACATTGAGCCTAATAGGGGCAATGACTGCTTAGTGCCTCTCCCTTGCAGCTGTTTCCCCAGTCAAAATCAGGCAGACCCAATGCTCCTTTCCTCCTCTGGGTGAGGACTCCTAGAGGTGGGTGAAGATGGGCTGACCTCAGTGTTACAGTAGTAAAAACAGGGGGGGGGAAACCCCTAAGGTTAGATTGACTGGTCAGAGGCATTTGAGAATATTGTACAAATAATTCCTGAGCTCTCTTTTGCTATTATGATTAGTATTTCAAGATATTATGGCAAGGTGGAGACAAGTCATAAAAAGGCATATTATAATTCTGGCAGGGCAAACTGTAAGCTATAAACAATGTGTGCAAGTGCCTACTTTGCACAGAAGTGTCATTATTATGCTGCTTGCCAAAATTATGCATCGCTTCTAGAGCTGGAAGATCTGATGTTCTACTCTGGAAAATAAAATACAATTTTGATTTTAAATGCAGCCTTTGTGTGATATAATTTTGGTCATCACTTATAATGAATGGTACAGACTTACTGAAACACAAAAGTCTGTTATCAGTGATGAAACGAAATCGTCATCCCTACAAACAGACTTTAGAATGTATGAATACTCCCCTTTGTACTGACAGGAACAATGATGGGAGATATGTGAAATGGTGGTAGTTCTGCAACACTCCCAGGTCCTCTCTAGATCAGCAATGTTTTATGAGTGGCCTATGAAGAGGATTAGGCAACAAATGTCAGTGCCAACAATTTAAGGATTAATCTGGATCTTGCAGTAGATTGGGCTGCAGATGCTATGAGCATGCTTTCTCCCTTTCACTGTAGCCCAAAATGCCCCCTTGAAAAGAACAGGAATTTGGGGTACATTTTGGGCTGAAGTAAGTGGGGGGAGGGGTAAGAAAGTCACATTCCACAGGTGGAAATCCTTCTTTACACAGAAACACTCTGATAGAGCCAAGCCATAGCACCTGCATCCCAATCCACTGCTCCATAAAAGTGGCTTATTGATACTACAAGATACTATGTAGGGCCCTCAGGGAGCAACTTCACTCAGTAAGCTTGATTTGCATGTGGAAAGTCTTTCTCCCTTGTTAGAGTTCCACTACAGGGTTCATCTGAAAGGATGAATTTGTAAGCCAATTTTTATAAAGGGATTAAAAACTATAGTAGAATTGAACTGTCCATGAGGGCACCTTTATAACGCAATAGGATTGTTGCCCACTGCAATGATTACTCTAGGTGTCATTTTACTTCTACTGCATTATCTTCTCCCTTGTAATTACACTATGCCCTGCCTAGGCAGTTGTGGTTTGCTTTGAATACTAATTTTGTAATACTAGGCCAATTGCATTGTCCATTGCTTGTCTTACGTTGTACAACTGCACTGTTTTTTAAAAATTCTGTAATCCTCCTTGAGTCTCAATGAGAAAGGCAGGGTATAAATAAATCTGTTTAATATCAGGAGCCGAAACTGACCATTTTAGCAACATAACTTTATTCAATAAAAATATCATGCTTTCTTTGTATATTTGAATCATTATGACATGCCATTACATCCTATATTGTATACTATATAAATAATGTTATGAACTAAAGATACGTTGAGCTTCATGGAGACATACTAATATATTCAGATTATAGAAGCTCAAGTCCTGGATATATTCTTGTTCACCCCCTGTGACCAACTCTATCAGTACAAAAATAATGATGCAAAACTTAAGGCAGCAGAAAGGCTCAGTGCGTGGTGGATAAAAATGGGCAATTAAATCTTTTGTTTATAGATTCAGGGCTATTACATCCTAGGGGGAATATATTCATATATGTAATCATCAGTAATTAATTTTTATCACTTATTTCCTCCCTTGGCAACCTGATCTCAGATACGTCTGATTTTTAATGAAGAGCTTGTTGCTTCATTTTGGGTTTATTCAGGCTCAACAGGATACAAGGAAATGAAGTAATTTGCTTAAAACGATTACAATAAGGAATTAGCTCATGATCGAGCATCAGCTGATAAGAAGAGAATGCATCAAGCAAAGAAGCCAATTCTTAAGAATGTGGTTTGATGGCTGGCAATTTGATAAAGGCTCATCACAGTAGAACAAAAGAAACTTATATTTCTAGTGTTCAATACACATGAAAGCTGCAGACTAACAACTGTCAGAATTTTGTAGTCATTTTGGTTTAAGGCACTCAGCTTCCATAATGATGGTAAGACCTAGAATAAATCTCTCTAACTCAATGATAATCAGTGATTCAGGATGTAGTTGTGGCTCTCTGACATGCCACCTGTGGTTCTTCTGAGAACTGTTTCCCCCTGTGACATCTGCTCAATGCTTCAAGGAAGTTAGCAAGGTCCTTGCCCTGTGGGGCTTGTGGTTGGCAGGTGATTCCCACCTTGAAACAGGCACCACTGGAGGAATAGGTAAACTGCAAGCCCCCTTGAGGTGCAAGCCCCATGGAAGTAAGATGGGAAAGGGATGGAAGTAAATGTGGCTCTTCTGGATGATGGCAACTGTGAATGCACCTTTTTGTGAGTCATGGAGTGAATACCACTGCCCTAAAGATTGCAGTTTATTATATCATGGCTACTGAAGAATATACTGAAGGTCTTCAGGCACTGACCAGCTGGATGCACTAGCTCATCTTGCTGTTTAAGGATACTGCAAATACTCAAAATATGAACTGCAGCAATACTCTTATTGCTAGACTAGATATAGATAGGTGTGGATAGTAAAATAATTCACTCAATACTTTTCATGATCTAAAATGGGGATTTATTCTTAAATACAAAATACAATTGCTTCCTTTTATAGTACATCACTGTTTTCTTTCAATTATTCTATGGCATGCTTCACAGGTAAAACTCCCATCATAGATCCACAAAAAGATGATGTCAAGTTGGAGAAACTGGCAATCTTCTCACTATTTCAGCAGCAAGTTTCAAATAGGCTCGGGCCTGTGAACATTTAAAAAATTACAACACATTTAGTAAATAAAAATACAAAACGATGTAAGGTTATATTTTACACACAGACACTAAAAACTGGCTATCTGCTGACAACAACGAAAACTATCTTCTTGCCTCCTGCCAGTGGGTGAGCCGTTATGTCAAAGAAAGAGACTAGGACACTTTCAATGTATGGGAAAATGCATAAACAACCGACTGTTGGAATATACTGCAGGTTCTGTTAATTGAAACATCAATCTGATGTGGTGGAGGCTACATGCACAGGCACCAGAAGAGCTCTTGTGTTGGCAGGGTGAGGAACTGTTAGAGAATGAACTTGATATTTTGCTTTATGAACTTATATTTATTGCTACACACAATGGACTGTGCACATACACACACATAGGCTCAAAGAACTGTGCATTCCAAGTCACCTGTTGTGATGCAACACATAGAAGGTACTTGCCCAAGCCTTACATGTAAATAAGGTTTCAACTACACAGTTACCAGCCTGGTGAAGAAGCACACACCTCCATTATTGTGAGCAGTAAGAAACAACAACTTGGAGAAGAGACAGCCCCCATTGTAGATCTAGTTGTGATCACGTACAACACATCACTGCTTTTGTTCCTGCTTTGGTATTTCCTGCTAAATGGATATTTGGTTTACAATGAAATGGCCAGCTTCTATCAACACTTCAATGAAGCATCCTGACGCCAAGGTTTTCACACCTGCCCAGATGTCTTCCTTGAGAAAGGTATTAGATTTCAATATTGGCTACCCCTCTAGGTAACCTCCCACTCCTATAGGCAACCAATAGGATTAGTTTTGGGATGGACTAATAGGTAGGTGGGTCCACAGGTTGAAACAGCTACCTCCCACCTAATGGATCCACTATAAAAGGTAAGGACCATTCACCTGGCCCTTCCTAGCTAGCATTCCCCGCAACAACCCCTGTCTGCTTTTTACTCCTCTTGAGTCCCACTTGCTATCCCCAAACCCTTGCCTCTACTTTGATCTCTTGATCTGCAGTCAAGAGATCCACACATGCTGGCTGGTTCTGGTCCTGTGTTTGAACTCCCTAGATTTCTATTTCTTCCCATCAGGGGTCATTTCATAGAAAAAGAGCTAGGGGAACTCATTAGCATAACTCATTAGCATATGCCACACCCCCTGACATCACCGGAAGTGTGTCATAAGGCCACACCTCCTGACATCACCAGAAATGTGTCATAAGGCCACACACCCCGCCCCAACGGTCCCGGCTGCTGGTGCCAGCCTTGCAGCTCCACTACCGAGCCCCATGAGGGGCCCAGCGGTGGACCTGCAAGGCCGGTGGGAGTGCAAGGAAGCCCCGCGAAGGCCCTCCCTGGTCCCAGGCAGGCAGGGGTGGGGAGAGGCAGGGAGGAAGCAACTTACCCTTCCTCTTCTCCTGCCTCCTCCTGGCTGAATGAGGGCCGGAAGCGGGGCGGCCGGAAGCAAGGGGCGGGGCTTCGTCATGTGCCCCACCCCTCGTACCTCACCTGGGGGAACTGCATTCCCCCGCGTTCCCCCCGAAATGACCTCTGCTTCCCATCCATTCTTCATTGGAACAACCAAAGCTGCGAAGACAGATAAGTATCACCCATCTCACCCCCACCTGCAAATGCAATTGTGCTTATTTTAAAACTGTATTTCTAAGGAACTTGATTGAATGTGTGAGTGCATCAGTATTGTTTGTATGAGATTTATTTTCTTAAGTAAAAGACATTTATTTTAACAACACCAGCCTCGACTCCTTCTCTGGTAACCCTTGGTGGGAACAGGACCTTGGTATAGTTGGCAAAAACCAGTTTATAAATTGCCAATTGCTGTAAATAAAGCAATTCGGCTAACAGAACCATATGTAGAAACACTGTGTGATACAATACTAAGCAAAAAGAGGAGCTCAGTAACAGTCAAAAGAAACAGGGAGCCAACAAAAGGTAACTAAAAAGAAGTGGATTGATAATATCTAGGACTGATGGGTTAAGGAGGCAGAAACCTGAATAAAAAAGGGTAGCCAAGGTAAAAGGAAGCTGAAGAAAAACCTCATACAGAACGAGGATTGCCAAACCCCCAGGTAGGGTGGGGGTTCCCCTGATTTGGGGGGCTCCAATCTGCCATTGGCCAGTTGGCCAACGGGGGAAGCTCTACCCCCGAACAGCACCCTCCCATATTAATATCATCAGTGTGACAATGTCACCCAGAAGTGATGTCATCATGCCAGGCATGTCACGCGGTGACGCTGTAGCATTTTGGCCAAAACCCTATGGTTACCATAAAGTTCTGGCCTAAATACTAGAGCACAGCCATGCGACGTGTCCGGCCTGATGACATTACTTCTGGATGATGTCATCATGAGACATACACAAGAAGTGCAAACACCAGAAGATCCAGGGATGGATCCAGGAGCCCACCGCTGGAAACCCGGTAAGACCTGGCAACCCCATACAGAGCCTATGACGAGGCTAATTGGTGTTTGCAAGGGAGGCAAAATAGCCTTTGAAGACAGGGAACCTGTGGGCCAGGGAATCTAAAGGGAAACCAAGGAGGCCTTGGGAGCAGTCAGCTTAGTTTCAAATCCAAATAGTTGGCTACGTGTCTGCAGTATAAACTATGTTTATGACATATATTTGAAAAAGAAATATCCAGAAACATCAAATATGACCTTTACTTACATTATACATATGTATCAAAAGTACTGCAATATTACACTGAAATATTAGAGCAGAATTTATTGCTTTAGTTCACATAAACTCAGCTATGCAGCCAGTCTTAGCCAAGACACAGTGCTGGTATCTTTCCAGGAAAATGCTGATGTGCTGTAGCTATCCTAACAGAAAAGATACTCAACGTTCCTTTCCTCACTATGGTTATCAAAAATATTGAACAAATAACTAAAAGAGAGCCAAGGAAGAGCCTCATTAGAGCCATATCATCTCAACACCCTGGAAGATGAGTTGGGCTAATGCCACTGATTTAAAATGTGTCTAAGGTTTCCCTTATCCATCATGATCATGAAGCCATGCCTTCTGACATAACATTGTACTGAGCAAAGACTATCTAGCTTAATAATGTGTACTCTGCAGTGGCTCTCCAAAACCTCAGAGGTCTTCTCAGCTCTGCTATCTAAGACCTTTTAATTAGAGTATTATTTCTATACCTTAGGCAAGGAAAACATGTGGTCTCTCACTGATTTATGGCAGTTAGCTAGCTAGGGTCATGTGGTTCTATCATTTTCTATCATGGCTAATAGCTAGACTTATTAATCTAATTCTTTTTTCAAAGAACCATCCAACTAACATACTGGCAAAGCCCCACTACATCTCCTTTTGCTATTGCTGTTGCTTGGAGTGATAAAATGGCTGGACAGATAGAGTGCAACTGGAGAAAGACTCAAAGCAAATGTAACCAAACATGAGAATACATTATCTTGCCTACTCTGTAGTAGTGATGGTGGCAAATATCCAAATATGATAATAGGATGGTTGAAGGCCAGTAACTCATGTCAGACAAAATTGAGGTGTTGTACATTAATGACACAGCCATGTAAGGACAAAGGAGTCTGCCTACCCCAGAGGAGACTGGTTTGTAGCTGAGCAGGTTTGTAGCCTGAGGATTCTGCTGGATCTTGGCCTATACTTAGAGGTTCAGGTCTCCTCTCCTTCAGCTGCTACATCAGTTATTGACAGTTCCTCAAAAAGTGTGCTTGGTTACAGTGATCCATGTTCTGATCGGAAAAGTGTTCTTTATAAGGGGTTGCTTTTGAAAACCACCTGAAAAACTTCAACTGTTCCAAAAAGCAGCAGCCAGGCTATCAGTAACCCATTTGCTGAAAGAGCTGCTTTTCTGTTTCTGGACTTGAAGGACTGCCTCATCCCATACTGTCTAGCCCACCAGTTAAAATACTGTTCCAAAACCCGTCTCTATGTCCTGTATGTCAAGATGAGTCAGGAGGCAACCAGAGACCGGGCTTTTCCAATGGTGGCACCTTGCCTGACACTTACTTTACAGTGTTTTAAGGAATCCCAGAAAAATGCTTCCCTTCATCTCGGCTATTAACTGAAGGGTTCCATCTTTTTAGAAGCTATTTTTATGGCCTGCTTCTAGCCAGAGGCTGTGTTGTGAATGCTAATTTTAGGATGCTGAATATTGTTTTATGCTGACAGGTCTTTGCTTATTTAATGGCTGGTTTTAATATTGATACTTTTTATGGTTTGTATTGTTATGGATTGTATTGTACTGTTTTTACTTCACAAGTTGCATCCAGCAGGCTACAAAATAAATGCATTAATTAACAATATTTTACAGCCATTGCTCTCATATAAGCTGAAGTGGAGAAACACATCAGATGTTGGCAGGTCACCAACTCATAGATTTTCTACTCTAGGGCTGCCAGCCCCCCGATGGAGGCAGGTATCCCCCTCCCCAAGCTCATGCCCTCCTACTGACCGGCAGGGGAGGACTTACCAGGATGTCATCACATCAGCAAGGTCACAGTGACAGTCTAGTATTTAGGCAAAAACTCTATGGTAGAAACCATTTTTAGGGGGGTTTTTGCTTTAATACCAGAATGCTGCTGTGATTTCGCAACATGATGATGTCACTTCTGGTACACGTCGGAAGTGACGTTGCCAGCTACATAGCCTGGGCCTCCCTCCCGCTCCTAGTAAGTCCTCCCATCACCCTCTGGTTGCCAGGAGGGACCTGGAAACCCTATTCGACTCCCATCAGTTCTTCCCAAGACAAACCTGCCAGTTCTCATATAGTATTGATAGGGCATGGGCAGAAAATTATGCAGGGGAAGACTTTTTATTGGTTTCAAAGCTGTTAATCGGTGACCACAACTATATATGATCATTTTTTCCGAAGAAACAAAATCTTTATGATACATTTTAGAACTGTAGAAATAACCTTTGATTCTTTCACAAAAGAAGCCTTTTATCCCTGGCTAGCACCCCATCAGTAAGCAACTAGTCTATATTTTGTTTTTTACATAAAATCTACACATACGGCCTTTCCTTTTTCTCACTCGCTTTCCTCTTAATGGGCAATTTATCTGATAATACAGCTGGAGTCAATTGTTGGTCCCATCATTACCAAGAAACACAAAACAGATTGAAATAAAACAAGAGAAAATATAGTGGTGGATATGGAAAGGAGAAATTTACAGTTTTCATTTCTCTTCCAGAACTGTTTTCATATTAATATGCTAGATTTAGAGATTCCCCCACCCCTTTTTTTTTTTGGTCTGGAGTTTCTGAAGGGAACAGATATAGATCACCCTTCTGGAAAGCAAAAATGTATTTTCCCTAGCATAAGGAGAAAGATGACAGTTTAACATTAATAGCTTGCTGACCAATCATTTGGATACCAAAGGCCTGCTCTGCAGTGAACAGAAAAACAAAACAGAGCAAATAAAACTGTAGAAATCCATTCAATATATACTGACTACATCAAGCTCCTTTTGGTGCCTCAGTTTCCCTGGATTCTTTAAACATTTTCAGATTTACAGAGCCCCCAGGTTCTATATTTCAGACACTTTTTATATTATATAGTTTCCATTCATGGGAATGTCCAAACAAAGTAGCCTTAGCATGCATGGGGAAATCAAATATATGGACTGAGTTTTCTTTGCAGTTTTCACTATGCATTTCCTACAGTTAATGAGGCAAGGCACTTTAAAACCAAAAAGCAGTTTTACTTCTCCAGCTGTGGGAGCTGAAGCTGTAAAAACTGAAAGGAAGGCCTATTCACTTGCATGATTCCCATATGTATATAAAATAGCAACTCGGCGTACCAGATGCCATAAGTTAGCAAACACAAGTTCAGGAAAAGTTCTTCCTAACTGACTTTACCTTTTCCCTTGTCCAAAAACTCCAAATAACTTTGTTCTGTGACTACCCAGGACATGATCCCAGGGTGTGGCTGAAAGGCACAGCAACTGTGCCAAAGATAACCCTTGAACTGGAGACCTTCTTGGAATAGGCCCCTCCCTTCATATACGATGCCTTGAGCTCCAAATGAGAGTCTACTCACAGCTTTACTCTTTGTAGTTAACCACCCACATCAACATCTGGCAAAAACTTATGGGTACAGTTGGAAAATGCTGCTCCTCCCCTGCCTACCATATACCTAGTGAAGAACAGTGGACGAAGAAAAGAAACTGGAGTCACAATTGCTGGAGTGAGTAAAAGTGTATAGTAAGTCAGAACTTCTGTGACTACAAGATTTGTAACAATCATTCCTGTCTTGCACTAGTAAAATAATATTTTAGAAGAATGTTCTTCTGAAAATTCTTGCCAGGATTTTTCTTTTTTTTTTGGGCCACTGGAAATGTTTTTCTTATTAGACATTAGAATAGGACGATAGTGGACAATTTTGATTTCAACTTGGATAGGCTGATAAAGTAAACACTAAGCTCAATTATCTCTATCTCTGTAAGAACACTCCACTTTTTATCTCACTGAAATGCTTTTTGGCCATAATATCTTAGTTGGGTTACACAGAGTGCCACTCAAGGAGATATTCCTCCATTCCTGGTGAGAACGATGTTCAAGTTTATATAAGCTATACTATTTCCTAGTTCTAGTGTACCATCTCCTACTTTAATCTATCTACCATAAAATTATACTGAAACTTTAATCAAGGTTTAACTGATCAAAGTTTTCCTTTGTTTTGTATACAAATATACTGATTAAATTGCTTCTTATTCAAATCATGGCTTACAGTGATCAAACAGAGGCACAGAGAAAGGTACTGCAGGCACTGAACCACTATTATAGAAAATATATTATCACAGAAAATGGATGAACTCTTGAAATTCTGATTATTGACACAAAAATAAGGGTTTCAGGTAGTCATATAACACAGAGAAACATTTCAGCTTTAAAATCCAAAACTACCATATTAAACTCACCATGTTGCTTTCAGGCTGTGACACTACAACTGGCTTCCCACTGTCAGAGGTCTCTCTTATGTTCAGATGTAAAGGAATGTCTCCTGAATTAAGGATGTAAAGTTATATAAAGATTCAATACTTTATAAATGCTCCTCCTTTAACCAGAGCTGAAGATTCTTCCAGAGCAAAAAAACCCAGTACATTGAAATAAAAATCAGTTGTAATACAGTTGTTGGATTTTGTTGGGGTTTTTTTTTTGCTGTCAAGTCGCAGCAGACTTATGGCAACCCCATCAGGTTTTCAAGGCAAGAGACATTCAGAGGTGGTTTGCGATTGCCTGCCTCTGTATTCCTTTGTGGCTTCCTATCCGAATACTGACCAGGGCCGACCCTACTTAGCTTCCGAGATTGGATGAGATCTGGCTACAAAATAATTACAACAACAAAGGTATTCATAGTTTTGGACAGATGGTATACTGTTTTGCAGTCACCTACAGACAACAGACATTCCTTTCTTACTTGCTGAAATTACCAGATAAATGAAAAACAGTAATATGCAGTACTTACATACAGCTTTCAGTATTCAAAGTGCTTCACGTTTAGTATTGTGTTGTAATCTTTACAACAACCTTAGAAGGAAGGACTGCATTATTATTTTAATTAACAGCTGGGGGAGAGAGCTTAAAAGAGGCTTTTCTAAGACTACCCAGTGAGTTTATTAGAGGCCAGATCTGAACTCTATATCTCCCAGATCACAGCTCTTTGCAACTATACTATAACAATTCTCCATACAAACAAAAATGTGTATATAGCCTATTTCTCCAGTGGTCCTTTGTGGGACATTCCTCACATCTGGGATAAACTCCTCCTCTTTCCTCAGGGTCGGCTCCAGCTGCGGCGTGCTTAGCACACAATTGGGCGGCTCAGTGAGAGCTTTTCTGCGGGTGGCACCAGGGGTTTTCCTGGACGCGCCGATGCTCCGGTGGCCCACAGAGCTTGCTTCTGCCAGCCTTACCCATCCCTGAGGCAGAGGGCCTGCTCCTGGAGACAGGGAGCATGGAGACTGCGAGACACAGCGGCAACAATTGGGCGGCTCAGTGAGAGCTTTTCTGCGGGTGGCACCAGGGGTTTTCCTGGACGCGCCGATGCTCCGGTGGCCCACAGAGCTTGCTTCTGCCAGCCTTACCCATCCCTGAGGCAGAGGGCCTGCTCCTGGAGACAGGGAGCGTGGAGACTGCGAGACGCAGCGGCAAGGCGGCGCCGTTGACTCAGTTTTCCCCCTAACTGCCAACTGGTAGGCGTCTGGCTGAACGGGAAATGGAGCGGAAGAACGCCGACTCCTTAAATCCCGTCTAAAACATGGTAGGTTTGGCCACTACTGGAGAGTTTCTGGACCCTGCATTTGTGTCTCCAAGGCTGAGTGTGTGTGTGTTCCACTTGTCCGCGGAAGTCCTGTTTGGCCCAGGGGGATGGATTTTGCCCTGGTCCTCCAATGCCCATCCTTCCCAGGCCCTTCAAAAATGAAAGGTGGGAGGAAGCCTTGCTCAGCCAAGAGATATGTGTTTGGGCGCAGAATATTTGAGCGAGAAAATGTGGTGGTGGCCATTTTAAATCTTCCTGGGTTCGTCAGGCCTGTAGGCTTTCGTCATTCTCAAGTAACAGCCTGCCTCCGCCATGTAAAGGGACAAAATAGGTGTGTGGGGGAAATACCACCATTATACAAACTGGTGGGGTAGTTAGGCCCAGACAGAAATACTTAGGCCTGATAGCAGATTTATTCCCCCCACACACAGGTCCACAATATGGTGGAGAAAACAGCTCAAGAAGGCAGTCCCTCTGGGGACAATATACAGGCGAGGCCATCCACGTCCGAGACCTATCAAGATTTCAGGGATACCCCAGGATTGGATTCCAGGGAACCCATTATTGCTGACATGTTAAACTGGTTCAGAGGGGAAATGAGGCGAGAGTTCAAGGAGATGATTAAAGAGACTCTCCAAGGCTCTACAGCACAGGACTCATCTGTGGATAGGAGCAGGCCTCTCAAGAGAACATTAGAGAGGGTAGCCAGCATTTCTAGGTCCCCAGTTAGACCTAGATATGTCCACTTCTTCTTCAGAAAAAGAAGAAGGGGAACTCTGCAGAAGAGGAAGAGGAGGTTGTACCTTCGGTACAATCTAGACTTTTCCCGCAGGAATTATTCTCACGTCTCTTGCCTAAAGAATTAAGGACTCTAGATCTTTCATCTAGACCCAAGGAAGAGACTGAACAGGAATCAGAATTTCAGTGAGGGGTGGGAAAACTGATGTTTAAGTTGCACAGCCAGGGTTGCCTCTTCCAGCCTCCTTTTATAACATAATGAAGGCAGAATCAGAGCAACCAGCAAAACCCAAGGCTAACCATCACCTTTTTTCAAAGTTCTACACTCTGATGCCAGAAGCCGCAAAGAAGCTGAAACTTCCTATGGTGGATGATCCTGTGACTAGTTTGTATTCCAACTCTGTGCTCCCAATGGATGCGGACGGGATGCCTAAAGATCACACAGATAGAAGGGTGGAGCAGGCTCTTCGCAAGGCATTTGAAGCTTCTTCATTGGCTATTAAGGCTTCTACAGCGGGCTCTCTTTTCGCTAGGGCAGTGTATGACTGGGCAGACAAATTGGCATCGGCTGACAGTGAGGTGCCTAAGGAATTTAAAGACGAGCTAAAGAAAATAGCTCTGGCGCTTGCCTTTACAGCAGATGCCACCCTAGATACGTTACAACTCTCTGCTAGGGCATTGGCATGTACTGTGACGGTGCGGCGAAACAATTGGCTTCACCACTGGGACGTAGACTCAGCTGCACAAGCAAAAGTGGCGGCAGTCCCTTTTAAAGGAGCTACTCTGTTCGGAGATGGGCTGGACAAATATCTAATTGAGGACAAGGACAAGAAGAAGGTCTTTCCCTCTAATAAAAGAGAAAGTAAGACTAGGAAACGTTTTCAGCCCTTTGAGATCAAAAGAGAGGGCAGAAACTGACATATTCTACACCTTTCAAAGGAAAGTGGCAAGCCAGACAACATAGTGGAAAGTCCTTCCCTTCTAACAAGGGCGAACAATCTTCTTCCAAAGTCCCCCAAAAGGGAACTCAGGCGTGACTATCTAGCCCACACAGAATGCCAGAAAATAGGAGGAAGGCTTCAGGCTTTTTCGGAACGATGGCCTATGACGATATTGGATCAGTGGGTGTTGGAGACGGTATCCCACGGATACAAGCTGGAGTTTCTCCTTCCCACACCAACACTTTCTGAGAATGCCAAAGTACCGAAATTGGCTGAAACACTTCCAGATCAAAGAGGCCATTCTCCATCTCCTAGATATTGGGGCTATAGAGAAAGTGCCTTCGTTCCAGCGGGGACAGGGCGTATACTCAATATTCTTCATGGTTCCGAAGAAAAATGGGACAACAAAAGCCATATTAGATTTGAAATGGCTGAAAAAATACATGCGGGACAGAAAGTTCAAGATGGAAACATTGAAGTCCATCCTGATATCTAATCAGAAAGGGGACTTTCTAACGTCATTGGACCTGTCGGAAGCGTACCTTCATGTCCCTATACACAGTACATATCGGAGTTTTCTACGCTTCAGTTACACAAATCTACACTTCCAATACAGAGCTCTCCCATTCGAGCTCAAGTCTTCACCAAGAGTTTTCACAAAGGTCCTGGTGACTCTAGTAGCACATTTATCTGTTTTAACTCTGGCACTTGTGCCTCGTTGTTAGCCGCCCTGAGCCTTCGGGGAGGGTGGGATATAAATCCAAAAATAAATAAATAAATAAATAAAATTTGAGCTTGAAAGGGGTGGGGCTTTTCCCTTATCTGGACGACATCCTTGTCAAAGCCCCATCGCATGCAGAGTGCACTCAGGCTTTGAACCTAGTAGTCCAGACTTTAAATGAACATGGGTTTGTAGTAAGTCTGGAAAAGAGTCACCTTCAACCTACTCAGACTGCCTCATCTGGAAGTGGAGATAGACACGTCATAGGACCGGGTTTTCTTGTCTCCAGAAAGGGAACAGAAACTCAGGCTCCTGAGGCTTCCGGTGGGTGGATCGGCAATGGCGGTCACTCTCCTCGGAGCTCTGAAGTGGTTCTGAAGTGGGACATTCCTGCCCACCAGTTTTGGGTGCGCCTCCCCTCTTTACAGAGTTGTGAGGGGACCAGTGCATCACAGGGGAGAGTTTGGTTCTAGTTAGAAATTAAGTTTCCTACGTTGTGCCCTTTGTTGTTTAAGGGGCTGTTAGTCTCTCTGTTTGTGGGAAGAGGTTGTCTTTCTTCTAGTACCTTTCCGGCGGGTGTGTATTGGGCTTGAAGATAACTGGACAGCCTAGAAGGGTATAAGCCCCTCCCCGTCTGGATCAAATGCTTGGAGCCGACCCTGAGGAAAGAGGAGGAGCGTATCCCAGACGTGAGGAATGTCCCACTTCAGAACCACTGAGAAGGGAAGATACATGGTAAGTGAAAGAAACCTTCCATTCAGTATGATGGAAGAAAACATGCAAAAACCTGCATGTTTTGTTTTCAGCTCAGCAGCCTCCTCTCTCTATCCTGGAACCCAAAACTGACTACAAAGAAGCCTGTGCTGCAGCACATTGCCATGCCAAAAACCAAGGCAAAAGCCCAGCTGAACAAATGCAAAGCCTTGCATAGCAGATAAAAGAGTCCACAGTTACAGACCAACTACACAATAACTGGCTGGCGGGTGGGGGGATTTCCCCATAGTTTCAAGATAAAGTTTCCCATTTTGGAATATGAACACCCAAGCAGCTGTGCTAGATCAGACCAATGGTCCAAGTGCTTCTGGAACCCACAAACTGTGTGCAGAGGCCAAAGACTCCCTTTGTTGTTGTGTTCCCCTCCCCCGGCAATGGTATTCAAAGATATGTGTTCCTTCCACCACACATATCCATCAATACTGCATTATTCCTTATGGATTTCCAGGGCTGGATCACTCTAATCAATATTCAAAATGTGTGCTTAAATATTTAATTGCCAAAATGAAAGGAAGTGTTATTGTTACTAGATGACTACTACTTTAATTAAATGCTAGTTACGTATTCAATTAATTTTCTCTCCAACAGTTACCAACTGTATATTGTGCTTTTATAATCAGCAGGGGACTGCCATAGAAATAAAGAAAAATTACACATTAACATGCTGAATAGTCTCATTTTGAAAAAAAATCTCTATGGAAAATAGATGTTTGAGACTTCAACCATTACAACATTATACACTAATTGAAATCATACATCAATACAGATATACAAATATATGTGTGGGTATATAATGAGCTACAGGAATAAGGACTTTTCTTATCTTCATAATTTAGTTCTACAGACAACTTTAATTACATACTGTAGCTGCATGAGTAACACATGCCCTGATTCACAATATTTTTGTATTGATGAATACATCTGAAAACTAGGGGAATTTTAGTGCCAGAGCATACATTCCAGGAAAGAGAGGACACAAACAGGCTGTCAAACGAAAATGAAAACCATCAACATAGCTTGACACAGAGAGTACTCCGTCTTTCTGTGTTATACCTCTGAGGATGACAATCACAGCTGCTGGTGAAACGTCAGGTCCTACAATGCCAAGACCACGGCCATACAGCCCGGAAAATCTACAACAACTAATCCATGTAGCTTCTCAATTGTAATTTTAAGAGTGAAGTCCCTCTCCAGTCTATGCAAACGTCCTCCATAGTTATATTTAATTTGCTGTGCTAAACCAAAACATGCTTATCATTGGAAAAAAACAAGAGTGGAATCCACAAGTATGCATGGAGATGGGAAATCCCATTCCACCACTGGCTCTCACTTCCTTCTCTCATGGTCATTCTGCCCCTATCTTCTGTCATTGCTTTTTCTTTCCCTTCCAGCTCTCTCAGCACCACTTTCATTCTTCATTCAAACTATCCTGTCTCAGCTCTCTGTCCCCAATCCACTCTTTACTTTTTTTAAAAAAACAGGGCTGCTAGGCATCCCCATAGCACTGAGCCTGCTTGCGGGGAGGGCGGGGTATAAATTGAATGAATAAATAAATAAATAGTGAAATCTCATGAAATCTGTCAGGATTTCTTAAAGTTGCAATGTGTGTGGTTGTATACACATGCTGTTTCTTTATTTGGTGCATGGGTTAAAGGTTTGTAAAAATCTGGATTCCTCAAGTTTGTAAAAGCACCTTCCTTTTTTCCCCTTGCCCCATTGTGCAGATTTACTTTCACCACATTTTCTGTGCTGCTGCAAAGAGCTGCTGGCACTGCCACAACAAAAACAACAATCTAACCCATGGCTTTGGTACTGCCAGAAGAAAAATCCTACTTAGCCTATTACTAGAAAGAAAACCACAGGGACACATCAGCTCCATCCAGCTATCGAAAGATATCTAGGATTCTATAGCAATTGCATGTCCTCCTTTTTTGTTGTTCAGTCGCACAGTCGAGTCCAACTCTTCGCAGCCCCATGGACCACATCATGCCAGGTCCTCCTGTCTTCCGTCGTGCTCCGAAGTTTGATTAATTTCATGTTTGTTGCATTGATAACACTGTCTAACCATCTCATTCTTCTCCAGCACCATAATTCAAAAGAATCTATTCTTCGGCGCTCAGCCTTCCTTATGGTTCAACTCTCGCAGACATACATTACTACTGGGAATACCACTGCTTTGACTTTTGTTGGCAGGGTGATGTCTCTACTTTTTATTATGCTGTCTAGGTTTGCCATCACTTTCTCCCAAGAAGCAGGAGTCTTTTAATTTCATGGCTGCAGTCACCATCTGCAGTGATCTTGGATCCTAGGAACTTGAAGTCTGTCACTGCTTCCATGACTTCCCCTTCTATTTGCCAAGGGGTGATGGGGCGGATGCCATGATCTTAGTTTTTTTGATATTGAGTTTCAAGCTAACTTTTCCCCTCTCTTCTTTGACCCTCAGCAAGAGGCTCTTTAGGTCCTCTTCACTTTCTGCCATTAGAGTGGTATCGTCTGCATATCTGAGGTTGTTGATCTTTTACCCAGCAATCTTAATTCTGGCTTGTGATTCATCCAGGCTGGCATTTTGCATGATATACTCTGCATATAAATTAAATAAGCAAGGTGACAATATACACCACTCCTTTTCCGATGTTAAACCAATCAGTTGTTCCATTTCCAGTTCTAACTGTCGCTTCTTGACCCTTATGCAGGTTTCTCAAGAGACATGTGAGGTGGTCTGGTACTCCCATCTCTTTAAGGACTTGCCATAGTTTGTTGTGATTCACACAATCAAAGGCTTTAGTGTCGTCAATGAAGCAGAAGTAGATGTTTTTCTGGTACTCCCTTTGTTTTCTCCATAATCCAGCAAATGTTGGCTATTTGATCTCTAGTTCCTCTACCTCTTTGAAACCCAGCTTGTACTTCTGGCAGTATGTCTTCCTTACACCTACTGAATTTCATGGGTCAGGTATTAGTTTGCTAAATAAATGCAAGATGGAACTTTAACCTTATAAAAAAAGAGGGGAAAGTAATTAATCTGACCATCTGTGATATACCGTGAATGAATATTAACACTGAGAATCAGTGTAGCATAATGTGTGTCAGTCTAGGAACAGGGAGGCCGGGGTTCAAATCCCTGCTTTCCATGACATTTACTGGGTGACCTTGGCTCAGCCACTCTCTCTCAAACTGACCTACCTCATAGGGTTGTTTTGAAGATAAAATGAAGGAGGGGAGATCCAAGTACACCTTCTTGAGCTCCTTGGAGAAAGGGTGGGATTTTAAAAAAAGGATAATTCAGAAGCTGTTCAAAATGCTGTACAGTTGAAAATAAATGCCTGAACACTTTTGCTCCCTTTATTCTTTCCCATACTTTAGCTTAAGATGAGAAAAACTTGCTGTACACCCAATGCAAGTACATTTCTTTCTTATGCTGCTGATTAATTATTTGCTTCCATTAGTACAGGTGCCTGTTGGAAAAGAAATTAATCTACTCTTACTTGTTGGAAGGCTGGCCACTACAGGCTTCTTGCTGACTAGGATACCTAAAGGCTAAAGCGAAGTCCCAGGCTCTAATTGTCATTATGGCCTCCAGCAGACAGCTAAGCTAACTCAACTGTGTACTTTTAATTATTAATTTTCTTGGTGTGCTAGGTCTGCGTCAGCCTCTGATGTTCTGATGAAGGTTTTTATGAAGTCAGCTTTCCCGGTTCTTAATGAATAACTTGCATGAACTGATGCCACTATACCAGTCCATGAAAACTTTACAAGCATTATTATCATATCTACCAGTTTAATTAAGGTACGCTATATTTTACAGTTCATTATCGAACATCAAACCATTCAACACTGTTCTCTATTCTGTTTACATCAATGACTGCAAACTTCTTCCTCAGTAAGGTGTGGAAGCTGCACTGACACTGCCCACTTCAGAGAATAGGCATTTCCCCCCCCCAAAAAATAAATAACCTGCTTAGTCAGTGTCCGCCCCCATTCCCCCTCAGGCTGAAGAAGTTCAGAGGCTGATTCTTACCCAGCAGACAAGACCCTGCCCCCCATAGGCTTCTGACAATTAGATGAGAAGCATGTTATATACCAGTAGCACTTCCTCTGTCAGAATGGCATTTCCATTTGTGGAAAGGTGGGGGGGGGAGACAACAATTCCCATTGATTCAGCTCTCCCACTGCAGATCTCCATTTTGGCCTCTATGCTGTTCCTATTCTCACACAAAGAATTTCAGGGAGCCAACCCTGAAGAGGATGATCAGAAGAGATTGACAAAGATGATCAGGGGCCTGGAGACCAAGCCCTACAAGGAAAGGTTGATGGACTTGGGAATGTTCAGTCTGGAGAAGAGGAGGTTGAGGGGAACATGATTGCTCTCTTTAAGTATCCAAGAGGCTGTCACTTAGAGGAGGGCAGGCAGCTGTTTCTGTTGGCAGCAGATGATCGGAGTCACAGTAATGGGTTTAAATTACAGGTAGAAAGGTACCAGCTGGATATTAGGGGGAAAGTTTTTACTGTACAAGTAGTTCAGCAGTAGAATCAGCTGCCTAGGGAGGTGGTGAGCTCCCCCTCACTGGCAGTCTTTAAGCAGAGGCTGGATGAACACTTGTCAGGGATACTCTAGGCTGATCCTGCATTGGTGGGGTTTTGGACTAGATGGCCTGTATGACCCCTTGTAACTCTATGATTCTAAGAAAAACACAAAAAGACTGTGGCAGTATCTGCACTTGTGTTTCTACCCCGACCTGAATGGTCCAGGCTAGCTCTCGGCCGCTAAGCAGGGTTGGCCCTGGTTAGTATTTGTATGGGAAACCAAGGAAGTCCAGGGTCACTATGCAAAGGCAAACCAACTTTGAATGTCTCTTGCCTTGAAATCCCCAAGAGGTCACCATAAGTCAACTGTGACTTGATGGCACATTCCACTACCAATTGCTTTTCTGCTTGTGCAAGATCTCATGCAACCAATTTCTGGGCACTATAATAAATAGGAAGGGAAGCAATAGATGTTGTACAAGTTCTTGAGCAAGTGGAAATGTGCTAAGTCTGTTCATTTCAGCTTGCGTATTGCTGGATTCAAGCCAATGTATTTTAATTTACAGAAACAATTAACTCTGGATTTCTCCTGACATTTCTTCTAACTTCTGCTTATTTAGAGAATTGTTTTAAATCATGATGACCTTACCTAAAACATCCAGGCCAAGATCATCTGCTAGGCTTCTCACACCATCAGTTCCAAAAATATGAGTTTCATGATTACATTTTGGGCACTGGAAAACACTCATGTTTTGGACAAGACCCAAAACCTGGAGGATTAAAAAAATCATCTGAAAAGTAACTGCATAAAATGTAAAATAAAATAGTGAACTTAACTAGCCACACAGACATGAATGCTAAATTCTACCCCTATCCTGAAGCAAAGTTAAGTGAAGTTTTAATTGTAGTGAAATTGTTCTTATGTTTACCTGTCATCTATGGGATAATGAAACATCCTATGTAATCTCTCCTTATATATAATTGTGAAGTGGGGTGGCACTTTCTGAACATTCCACATGTTCCTAAATCACTTGGCTCCATGATGTGTCACTCAGAAGCTGTCCCTATCCACTGGCTGTGTTGCCTGAGTCCTGTCTCCAACATTCCAAATAGTTTGCTGTTCCTCTCCCCCCCATTGCCAGTCGAAATACAGAGGTTATTTGCATATGCGGCCTGATTGGCCTTTGCCTCTAACATTCTAAACAGTTTGTTGTTGCTGTTGGGAGTCACTGAACATGTCCTGAGGTAAAATACATGTCCCAATCTTCCCTTAAATTGTCACTGGAGTTGCCAATCTCCCTGTGGGGCCTGGAGATCTCCCAGAAATCACCGTGTTCCCCAGCCACAGTACATAATTTCCCCTACAGATAATTTTCCAGCTATTACAATTGATCTCCAGATGACCAAGATCAGTTCTACTGGAGATAATGGCTGCTTTGGGCAGTGGGTGCTTTTCTACCTTAGCTGCCACTGCATAGCCCCAAATTAACATAAGCCAACCTCCAGGCGGCACTTGGGGATCTCCAGCTATTACAACTGATGTCCAGATGACTGAGATCAGTTCTCCTGCAAAAAAATGGCTGCTTTGGACAATGGACTCTATGGCATCATACCCTGCTGAGGTTCCTCCACACCCCTTCTCTCTGAAGGCTCTACCTCTCAAATCTACAGGTATTTCCCAACCCAGAGTTGGTAAACCTTTAACTGGCTATGGAACTGCTTTCCAGACCCTTGGAACCCAGAAGACATGGCATAGGAGGTGCTTTTCTGCCTTAGCTGCCACTGCATAACCCCAAATCAACATAAGTCAGGGATGGAGGGAACCATACCTGTTACCATGAGGCTGTTCTCCCATACTACCTACTTGGGGCAGCAAAATGTGACAGCCCTGCCTTATAGATAAGCAGAAGGAAAGAAACGTGGCTTGCCTCCCTCTATTTTCCCCTTCCTTCTGCCGCCCCACCAGCCACAGTCGGGACACTCACCCGGAGCTTCCTTCTGGAGCTCGTTGTATTTCTTCCCACAACAGACCTTACTCTTAGTATAATTATAGAATTATGTTTGTTTCATTCCCACCCTTCACCCAACCCAGAAATTTCCAGGCAGGAACAGAGACTTTTGCTGGTTTACTATGACAAATAACTTCAGGTGGGTAGTCGTGTTGGTCTGAAGCAACAGAACAAAGCTTGAGTCCAGGGGCACCTTTAAGACCAACAAAGTTTAATTCTGGGTATAAGCTTTCATGTGCATGGACACTTCATCAGATACTTTGAAACATATTTGATGAAGTGTGCATGCACATGAGAGCTTACACCTAGAATTAAACTTAGTTGGTCTTAAAGGTACCACCCGACTGAAGCTTTGTTCTATGAAAAATAACCTCCTTGTATTTAAACAAAAACATACCAATAAGCAGCAAATTGTTTTTGTAACAAACTCTACACTATAATGTTGCACTATTTTTCTAATGGTTCAGAAGAACTTTTAAGAAGGTCACTGTTAATGGCTGTAAAATTTTAGGTAGATTTCATTGCTTGGTTCAGTGTATACATAATACTATCCCCACCCCTTCTCTAATTTTGTAACCTAGTTTTGTTTGTTATATGCATTATATGGTTTTACAGTACACAGGACAATGTTTTTAGTGTGCTAATTGTGCAATCCTGTATTGCATTTTTAATTGTATATATTATACTGCTGATTGCATTACAGTATTTTAATTTGTGTAATCTGACTCAATCTCAGTAAAAAAAGGCAGACTATGAACAAAGAATGAAGTAAACTAGGGAGACAGTGTTAATACTGAATTTGCAGTCACCCCCACAGAAACAGAAACCACCCTATAGCCACTTTGCCTCCCTGCACCAGTTTCAAAGCTGCCAGCTTTCTCAGTTGCTTGGCTCACACTTCAAACTCCCACCAGGCAGATAAGTTTCAGAGCCCCTTTGCATTCTGTAGTTAAGCATGAGCTGACCATCTTAACAGATGTGGTGATACCTGCCTTCATTGCTTATTCACTAGAATTCATTGTTAGTCGCTAAATAATGTCAAAGATAAAAGGAAGCCTTTGAACCACATGGCCCATAATAATAAAAAGGGAGTTCATTGACTGTTTATAAGAAAAAATCTTCAGAATAAGAACTGTGATTTGCTATTCTCTCTGAAACAAGAAGACACATTTAAAGATCAAATAACAGATATAATTACATAAGGCACAGTAGTGAAAAAGTATTAAAGGAAAACCTAATGCACTTATATTAGCTATATCCTTTTAAATGATAAGTGGACCAAATTAATTTATAGAATCTGTCAGGAAAATTAGCTAGACTGTGCATAACACTAATTCTTCCTTCCTTAATAGGGACAAAGAAAAAACTAATAATATTTTATTCATCACTCAAAGAAGTTCTGAAATCACACTTTCCTATTGAGACTATTATTTGTAACAAAAATGTTTTATTTACAAAATTTGATGTGTAATTATTGGGTTTCATCTGCGGGATTGTGGAAAGCAGAATCTCCCAGGTTCAATCCCTGGCGTTCCCAGTTCAAAATGATGCCCCACACTATTCTAAAGCTGAGATCAACAGAAATAGTAGCATCCACATTTGCAAATTAATCAGGATTTCAGTCCCTTGCAAAATAATCATCCTAAGAAGAGACATGCCCTTGCAAATCCACTGAAATCATGAAGTTTAGAAGGGTGTGATCCTGTTTAGGATGTCATTGTTAGACTTCTTGGCATATATTTTTGACAACATCTTAGGTTCAGGAATTTCCATTTCAAAATCCCAATTGGTATGAAGTAGATGGGAAATACATTAAATTATTAATACAGAAATTCTTGGTATGTGTTTGTGTGTCTATGTTTAATATTAAATATAATGATATAAGCTATACTGGTCTACATTTGGAAGTAGTGCTTTTGGTCTAAAATGGTTTTGAGAAAACTGATGCCACTAATTGGCAGGATGGATCCTTCGTACATCCAAGGGGCCAGAATCATATTCAACTTTGCCTTTTCAGCAGTTCTAGAACAGAAAGAAGCAGGATTTGGAAAGCCTTGCACTGACATCCATGGAAAGCTGCTGTAATGTCCCATGGGATTTTTCTCCTCTTCTGTTTAAGGTGACATACACGATTCTCCTTGCCATTTTACCCTCACAATACCCTGTGAGGAAGGTTACACTTAGCAAGAATGACTGGCCCAAGATTACACAGGAGCATCATGGGAGAATGTGGATTTGAGCCCAGAAAACTTCAGTTCCAGTCCAGTATGCTAACCTAGTACACCCTACTCATTGTCCAGTGATAGCAACCAGTTAGATGGTATATGGCTACAAAAAAAGTAAAGTTGACAAGATTTTCTGAAACCTCTGCAGGAACTGCAGGAACTTTTTTAAGGAACTGTCGTATATTGCCTTGAGGTTTTTTTTAAACAGGAAAGCAAAACAAAAGTTCCTTAAATAAATTTAATGTGGAAAGGAGCCGGTTTATCTGTGAAATTCACAAGTGGTTCACCACTGCTGCTGCAACCTTTGAATATAAATCTAAGGTTGTGCAAGACCGTATTCCACACCTGAATCCCCAGTTGCTGCAAAGGACATCAGTGTCTGGATGCACAAGCAAGGAGAGAGAGAGGAGATCAAACTGCTTTTGTATGTATGTACTGTAGTTGTCAGGAAATCCGAATACATGAGACACCGTGTAAAGTGACCATGAAGGCCAATAATAGAATACCATTAAATAGAGGCAGTGAAAGGACAGGTTCCACACATTTGTTTGTGCACTCGTTTGCAAAAGGGGCCCTTTTGAAGGCAGCAATACTACAAAGTAGTGCTCCAGGCTCCTCCAACATACGTCTTTTGTTAATGAAAGCAATTCAGCTGATCTTATCAAAACAAAAAAACAAAAAACCAATCCCCAACACTCTTCACATTAATTCCACCTACTATCTTCAAAATTTCTATATCTTTATTTTTCCTATCATCTACCCCCATTAACAGTTCCATTAATATTTTACAATTTATTAATATTAAACCTTTGAATACTGGAACGTTCAGCTTTGGTGTGCATATATATACACAAGTCATGGAATCCATTATATCCAACTGCAAGTGTTTTGTTCCCAGTGGCACTCCATGCTAAGTCCTGGGCTATTTAAAATGTACAAAACCAAAAAACAGCAACCAAGTAACAGGAAGGAGGGATCTGGGACCTTAGCTCACAACTTGATGTGAGCACAGCAAGACAAGATGCAGCATAACAAGTTGTGAGGCCTACAAAGGGGAATTTAAACATTTCCCTAGAGCACAATGGCATGGTAAGGTTACCGACTGCCTGGAGAAAAAAATAGTAACCTGTCCCTTTAATAGAGACATTACAGGATGTTATTTGCAATGGATGTTATTTACCTCCATGACATAAAAAGCTTCAGCTGCCCATTTCCACACAGGAAGCCTCTGTTAAAGGGACAGGACATGGTTTGCGACGCCTGATGGCCACTCTACTCTGCTGAACTCTGAAGCTGCCTAAGTATCTTGTGCTTCTGTGGTCCTGAATCTTAGCAGTCAGGCTAGACAGCATATCGCTGACTGCTGACGTTTAGAGCAAGATAAGCATGAAGCTGTTCACCTGGCCACAGGGTTGGTGGTATTTCTACCTCTTCCTCCCATTTTGTGTGGGAGGGTTTGAGGAATGCAGATTTCACAGCATCCATTCCAAATCATAAGCAAACATCTGTTCCTTTTGCAGCACAGCCATCAGGAAT